AAATGGTAAATTAAAAAAAAAAAAAAAAAAAAGAAGAAAAAGTGAATTCAATGCTTTCAAACAATATAAATGAATTAGGTAGTTAAGGATTAGAGAATTACGATGGAAAGCTGATCTTGAGACGAGATTAAGTCTTGCAGCATGATTGTGTTCTTTATCTCCAATGTTATAATGGGACAACTTTCTTGGAAAAGGAGAGAAAATTCCCCAGAAAAAACTGACTTATAGCAAGAAAAATAACGAACAGGCCTTCACGGACGCTTTGTCAAACATTGTTGGAACCGATGCATGAACAAACAATTCCATCGAATAAATTGAAATATTGAAGAAAAAACAAATAAAACTGAAAAAGAAAAGACAAAGAGATAATCAAATTAAAACAAAACAAGGCTCTTCTGTTCGGACAGAGAAGAAATGAAAAGGAAGCTATGGGAGTTTCACGTAACGATCATACATATATATAGTTTTGGTTTATGTATGTATCTATGTGCTTATATCTACGTATATATATATTAATATATGATCTGATGCATGTCTCAAAATACTATTTTCAGGTGACAAGGCGTCGTATATGCCAGGGTGGCACTTAGCATGACGTGGGAAGAATTTGTTTTGACCGATCAATGAGTTTTGACCTAGTTCTTTTTGCATGGATTTTGATTGAAAATTAATCTAATTTAAGCCCTATATTCATGGAATTAGTTTTTTTTTTTAATTTTAGATATGTCCAATCTTGTATTTTCTTTACTAATTTTATTGACTTGGTTAGTGATTTTGCGCAAAGGAGTGAAAAAGAAGTCGACCAGGTCAGTAAACTATGGGAATCAATATGTTGCAAGATGCCTTTGGACAATGAGCATTTATTTGCCTGTAAGTAATTTCGTCAATAATATAAGATAAAATTCGAAAACAATGTTTAACCAACTTCGAAGTTAAAAGTTTTTAACGTGAAAGTGATTTCATCTGCGACTGTGACATTTTGAGCATTTAGAGTCAATGCTTACTACCTTTAAGATGTATTTTTTTTTATAAGACTACCTTTAAGATGTAAGTCGTTCCATCCTTCGTGATTTCACTTTCCTGCACTTTTATTATTCTAATATTCTAATAGCCATAACCATATTATGCTAAGATGAATGAATATTTAAAGGCTACATTGTCAGCCTAATCAACGGTACGGAAAAAAGTGACCAAAGTACGAATTGTGTTACTATAAAGGATTTGATTTCACATCTAGTCCTCAAATCTTTAAACAATATGTATTCCCACAAATGGAACTGCATGTGCTAATTGTCACTGGTTAAATGTTATTTAATTATGCCTAAAACTGATTTATGATCTCGTATACTATCCTAAGCTATTTGTGTTTGCAGTTCACTTAGTATACATTATTACAAGGAAATTAGTCAATATATATCATTATGTTTTTGTTCTTATCATGAGACATCAATATCGCCTGTCAGTATCTAATTTTGGTCACAAAAGTCTACCAAACATTTGAAAACCACTGCCATGCGAATATAGTTATTTTCCCTCTCAACGTTTCCAAAATATTTCAATGTTTTGCTCTTACTTAAGTCGTCTCGACAAGCTAATATCTTTATCTATGTGGTGTATATATATGTTTAGAGCTTAAAGCACGCTAATCATGTACATAGGAATTGCAATATTTTTTTTTATTAAAAAAAATGGAATCAAGAGAGTTGCAATAATTCTATTGTTTTCAATAATGAGAAAAGAAGTGGAAATTTTAAAAATAGAACTGCTTAAGATCAAAGCTGATTTGATGAATTGATACGTTGGAGATATGACCATCTTCGTGATCTAAAGTTCAATATATGCACACGCATTATCCAAATAGAAAGCGACCACCACTTTCACAATACAAACCAACACCTAAAATAAGAGAAACTAGTAATTTAGAGGATACATTACATATATATTACTTTTAACATATCTATGTGAATGCGAATTTCATTCCGTTTATTCAAAATCTCCTTCTTCTTTTTTTTTTTTTTGTAAAAAAAGAGAGCAAAAACTGATTTTATCTATTTGCATTTGAAGTATATAGGTAATTTGTTTCTCCAATTTAGTTGTGATTATGAATATCGAAAAATAAGTTGGAATGGTTTCATCACAGTTTATATATGTAATATATTATCTAATTTAGCTTCATAATATTTTTGGGTGTTTGTATTTGTACGATAGTTTCGCTTTCATCTTTAGATCCTAAGAATATAACTTTTATGCAAATAGAAAGGACACATCCATCGTGCTTTAGATGGTACCCTCATCCTTTTGGATCACCATACTTTGCTTAATAAAACTTATTTTGATCACCATATTTTGCTTGAGTATGTATTATTGCTTCGCTTTCAATTCACGGAGGTCGCATTTGCAACGCGAAGGCCTAATTGCTTGCATACCAATATTTTTTGTGAAAGGGTTTTCATAACATACCAGTATACCAACCGATTAATCAACTATATAAAAATATATAGAGTATCATGTATATCACTGTCTAAAATGTTAATTAAATAATATTACTTATTAATGACATTTAGTTAAAAACAAAAAAAAAACTTATTAATGACCTATTGTCAATGTCGTATCATAGCCTATGCCTTGCATCGCTCACATGTACTCAAACATCGATTCTTTGATTGCTCAACATAGAACTTAAGCTTAGATATATATACTCTAGTAGACTACAAAACATGCATATTAGTATATTACAGTACAAATAACTGTCACTAAAAAAACATGTAAACATGGTTCATTTTCCTAAAACCAAAAGTTTTTTATCCATCCACAAAATGTGATAACCTCCTTATGAATCATATATGATAGTCAAGACTAATGGCATAGGAACATTTTTCACACTATTCTTTGGTTGTGAGAAAACATTGTCAAGTTCCAATCTATTATGATTGTTGGTTTTACATCTCTTACCATATATTAATTTTTTTTGTGGTTACATGCAAATATACTTACTGATTTTGATTGATTAAGCTAATTGAGTATACTGTGAAAAATTCCACACAAGAAAACTTAGTAACAATAGTACGTTTTAGTTTCTAATATTCAATTCAAAACATCAGAAGTGACATGAAGAGAAAGATAGAAGGAGATTAGTATCAAATTTTATCTACCAATTTCTTTCCTACTCATTCGCTTCCATAATATTTGCTTTGAATTATTAGAAATTACTTTTATTATTGGTATTCTTCTCAAAGGTATAAAGTTGACCTATATACTACTCTTCTAATAGAGTTTTCAAACGTAGAAAAATCAAACAAATCCATCATATATGTTGGTCACACTGGGATGTATCTTTAGTCCAGTGGCTACCTATATCACTAGAGTTCGACATCACTAGGACTCCATATGCCCTCATTATATGTGATAAGTTTTGAATATGTTCTTCTCAAGTGAGAATCCAGTTTTACATTGTATTATGGCTCTCGATAGTGATTGCCCCACCCCACTAGCACATCTTAATGGGTTGGTAATGCACTTCTTCCCTATCAAGAAATGTTTGTATGTCTTCTTTTTATACTTGTTCCACTATTATTCCGTGTTGATTTATAATCTAAATCAATAAAAGATAGGAAATATATTCAATTCAGATTTTGAAGTGATTTAAATTCACGAGATTAGATTTTTATGATTTTAGGTGATTTAAGATTGAATTAGAGAATTTTATATGATTTTTATTATACCATTCTAAAATCTCATCTCAAAAGAAATTTGTTTTTTTTTAAAAAGTTTTAACTAATAAACTACATCAAAAGCACTCTAAAATCACTAGAATTTTTTTTCACAGTTAAATAATCAATAATAGTAAATTTCAAAATCTTTACAAAATAACAAATTCAATAACATTGGATTGTAATTTAAAAGTCCTATTCAAATAACAACAAACTTATTATTTCAATAGAAAATACCTCAAATTTCCATTTGAATACATCTCTAACTAATCTTTATCCCTTGAGTTAGACTGACCACAACAAAGATACCACGATATCAATACAGAAAAA